ATACTATGTGAATTCTATATATATACTAATAGTATTTGTATACTGTGTATATAATATGTGAACAATTACATGTGTACAATATAACCTACATGAAATTTTAAACTTATATCTATTGCTTTCATACATTCGAATGTTTTTAGCTATCTATTATGAAATGAAAAATAAAATATTGTTAATATAACTACACATTAGCATTTTCCAAAAAGTTTTGTAAACCTGGAAATATCCCAGTAAAATAAATATATTTTATGTGTAGCTATTTGAACACTAACTGCTGGATGTGCAATTGTTAATTCAATTTCCATAATTTTCAGGTGTCCAAGGGAAAGTCATGAATTTTAAGAAAGGAGAAAAGGAATGACTTATAACGTTGAAAATAGTTTCTTTTCTAAACAAAAGAAGTGTTTTTTTAATCTTTTAAATTATCGAAAAACATGAAAAAAGAAATTATTCTATATCACTGTGCTTAAATCAAAATTTCCAGAAAAATGCTTATAAAAATACTTATTTCATAATTTATATGAAAAAAAAAAAATAAGATATTATAGGGTTAAAAAATATGTATAAAAATTTTTTAAATTTTAATTATTTTTAGTTGGCGTTGCTTTTTTTCGAAGTACAATATCAACTTTTATCAATAAGATTTTGATGCCAGCAACTTTCTGATTTACATATAATCATGGCAAAAAAATTATTTTAATTTCCCATATTCATAATTTTATAATATTAAATTTTTGAATACAAATATTTATTGATAACATATCATATACGTAAACATATGTATATTTTGTTTCATTTTTGTTAAAAAAATAATTATTAAAAGCGGAATAGATATGTATATTTTTTATAAAAACAAAACTAGTATCAAACTAAAACAACAAATCCAAAAAAAGCGGAATAGTCATAACTTAAAATAAAAGGGTACTTCCTTGGAGGAAATGATCTAGCTGGAGAAAGGATACTTACATGCATACATAATTATATTATATTTAAACATGCCATTACAATATGTTAATGTTGTAAATAATGATATGTAGTGTAGTTTGTACTGCTGAGAAAAATAAATTATTTCTACGTTAAAAGAGCACGCATAATTAAAAAAGTCTGTGTTTAAAACATTTTTGTAACTCAAAAAAACTTAAAATATAGATATTTATATTGGCCTTATACAAAAGACGTTAAAAGTTTTTAAAATTTTTGCTTATACTTTGCTTGTAGTACAACATGTATACATAATGTATATGTATGTGTAAAACCTCGGATGTTCAACTAGTAAAAAAATAATAAGTTACGAAAAAATAAACAGTCTTTATAGTAATTGTCAATTTAAAATCTTTTTCTCTAATTGAAAGTTAGAGATGTTTCAAATTTCTTACTTTCGATTAGAGAAACTAATTAGTTTATTACTTAAATAGAGTTCAAAGATTATCGTTTTAAGATTAAAAATAATATTGTCAATGAAATATTTGGGTGTTACTGTGTTTATACTTCCATTTGCATCAGAAAAATTTCGTCTCTATGTTTTTTGTTATTGTGTGTTTCAATAGTAGATTGTATGTAGCAGTCAATGTAAACAAAACAAATACTTAGTAATCATGTGGATTACAGTTTAAGGCAATGTAGAGAACATTTCTTCGGCAATTTCTTCATGCCTCTGCAGTTCAGTTGGTAGAGCTTCCACCTAGAAAGCGGTAGGTCACTGGTTCGAGTCCAGTTCGAGGAGAAAAATTTTTTAATTAATTTTTCTGCCTTTAACTCGTTCCTTTGATTACGTCATCCATCTGTTCTGCAAAAGAATGAAGAAATTTCCATTAAGTTAAATTATTAGTGCAATAAGCACATACTTATTAATTTCACAACTAGGATGTTGTATTAGTAAAACTCATAATATAATTAGTGCAATAGACACAATCTTATAAATATATATGTTTTTTGTTATTGTGTGTTTCAATAGTAGATTGTATGTAGCAGTCAATGTAAACAAAACAAATACTTAGTAATCATGTGGATTACAGTTTAAGGCAATGTAGAGAACATTTCGTCGGCAATTTCTTCATGCCTCTGTAGCTCAGTTGGTAGAGCGTCCGCCTAGAAAGCGGTAGGTCAATGGTTCGAGTCCAGTTCGAGGAGAAAAATTTTTTAATTAATTTTTCTGCCTTTAACTCGTTCCTTTGATTACGTCATCCATCTGTTCTGTAGTTGCATGAAGAAATTTCCATTAAGTTAAAATATAGTTTTTGGATTGGCTGATTTTAAAACCATTGCAATTTCGGTTAGGTACAGTCATTTTTTAAGTGGTTTAATGTCGTTTGTCCAACTAGAAGTATGTTAACGTATTTAAAAACCCTGCTTAAAAAGAAGAAAGAAATTCCTCGAAATTAGTTTAAATTTTCTCTTTATAAATATATGCATATTTGTTTGGCACTAAAAAAATGCTTGTATGACCAGATAATTACTGTATTATTGGGAAAACTTTCCAGGAATTTCTCTCACATTACACATTTACTAAATGTTTCTTTTTGCAAAATTTTCTGAAAGTCAGTAAAAACTTTATTTATAATAATTAGTCTCTAGTCTTAAAATTAAGGATGAAAAGGAAAACACCAAAATGCCTCAGCACAGCCGTACTTTTGCTTCTTCTGCTTTTTGTTAAGGTCTTGTCAATTATTATTTTTAACTGTTGCGGATTTACCTATTAGCACTACGAACACATAAGGATAATGTTCTAGTATTTGCTTAGAATAGTCGAATTAACTGAATCCAAAGAAATAATGCACGTATGTAGTGGTTATACTAGCCCATACTTTGTTCGTAATATATTCTAATTTGATTGTAGAGTATTAAAATAATCTGCTAGTGAGAAAAAAATTTAATAAAAATAAAAGAATGCTAGTAGAAACTGATTAAAACAAAAAACTGTAAAATTTGCATACACACAGATTCAACAAATATTGTTAGTTTTTTACGAATGTTCAATAAATAAGAGACGAAATTGTTAGCCTTAACAATTTCGTCTTACTTATAATGATGTATTGGTTTTCGACAGTACTTAGAACTTAAGTAAATAATTCTACACATTTTGTGTTAATTTTATAAAGTTCATAGTTTTTTAAAACCATCTAATATACATATATCTCAAGCAACAATGTCCAAGAGTAATACCCTAAAAAATTTACCAAAAAACTGATACTACTTTCATACCCCACTCGAATACTCTCAATTTTTTTTTCGTTTTTTTTGTTTTTATGCAACTCTTATAAGTAAATTCAACTCTTTATAACACTTGTAGTGTTAAAAATTCTGCTACTCTCATAGCAGAACTACTTTCGGCAAGCCATAAACAGTTTTAATTCTCATAAAGTATTTTTTTATAAGATGTTAACTCTTATAGAATTTTGTTCTTAAAACAACTCCTTTATTAGTCTAGTTGTTAGGCACGGCCATTTTAGTATTGTCATTTTTCCTTATCTAAATTTTAACCCTAATGAAACTGAGAATTGTTGTTTGGAAAGAAGTCCGAAAAATACTTATTGTACAGAAATTATTAAATTAAAATTAATGAAATGCAAAATTATAGTTTTATTTGAATATAAAAAGACTTTAGTTGGAATTTATGCACTTTAGTATATTTATTTTTTGCTTAACAATTCTTAAATTTTAAAATTTATGTAAAAAAAAGAAATAAGATATTATTGGGTTAAAAAAAATGTATAAAAATTTTTTAAATTTGAATTATTTTTAGTTGGCGTTGCTTCTTTTCGAAGTACAAAATTAACTTTTATCAATAAGATTTTAATGCCAGCAACTTTCTGATTTATAATCATTGCAAAAAAATTATTTTAATTTCCCATATTCATAATTTTATAATATTAAATTTTTGAATACAAATATTTATTGATTACATATCATATACGTAAACATATGTATGTATATTTTGTTTTATTTTTGTTTAAAAAATAATTAATAAAAGCGGAATAGATATATTTTTTATAAATTTATAAATATATCGAAGTAAGACCGATATGTTTATTCTACAATGTATTGCTTTCTCTTTCTAGTAACACTATTATAAATGGCTTCTGAGAGTTTTCGTAACTCTCATACTAGTTTGGAATGAGAGTTATATGCTTTAAAAACTCTTTTAATGGAAGATTAACTCTCATTACAAGAATTAATAACTCTAGTAATTGCGCTCTTTTGTTCTTATAAAGATCTCTTTAAGGTCTTTTAGTGTTCTACAAGACTGAAATTATAAGAGTAATATTTCTTAAGAATTCTCAATATAGCTCTACAAGAGTCTTATGAAATAAAAATTCTTCCTTGGGATATCAGATAAATCCGTAGTACAAGCATTTAGTGCTGTAAAATAAACAAAACTTAGCGCACAAACGCGGCCATCAGTAACTTAAGCTAAAATCATCATTTCGTGCAACATACGCGTAATTGACTAAAGCATTCCATAGTCCGCACAAAAGTTTAATTTAGTGTGATTCTCCCCGTAATAAATTTGGTCTAATAAAATCGGGCCAAACACGTTACTTACACAAGGTAATGAATGAAAATTATAGCAAAAACCACCTTACGACAATGAAGCGGTTTTACGTCCAAAAGTTGAAGACTACTTTCATAAAAGAGCAATGTAAATGGATCCAACCAATCCACAGCATGAAGATCAAAACCAAGGAAACGTCTCCTGACAGCTTCAATATGATCTATACTAACATTACGAAGGGGAAGAGAATAATTAAAGAATCTACCTAATCTAAAAACCCAGAGTAGAATTCGGCCTATTAATCATTAAATTAAGATGAGTCGTTCTTCAGAATTCTTTAGAATTCATCCATTAAGCTTGTAAACGAATTTCACCTTCGAAGAATTATGCCTATTATATAACGCAATACCGGATGCTTGCCCATATTAAGCTCCACAAAGCGAACCAATTAACATAATTTTGCTGACTTACACAGTCAGCCATAGAACACACGCGGCCGCTAATCTTCATGTCATCAGCAGAACCAATAAATTTAGATGATGTGGCACAGAAAAAAGAATTATTAGTCGCCAATATATCGAAAAGAGAACTTGCGAAACCCCACAAACAAAAAAAAGCATTCGAAAGACAAGAACAGGACCGTTATACCGTTATATCAAGTTTACGTTTGAAGAATATACGTTATATATTAAGAAAGGAGAAAATAAGAATTTTAAACAAGTAAAAACGTTTCAGTCGGTATAAACCGATTGAATTATACCCTGCACCTTTCATTTTTGTATAGCAATTACTCAAACCTGTGAAACCATTCTATAGAAACTTCACGGATATGTCAGACCTATAACTGAACACACAACTACCAAGTTTCATGAATCTGACTTAATTATTTTTCCAAATATTTAAAATTAGGTTTTGGAGTTGTATGGCAGGTACCCGAACCTGCCAAGCAATTCCACCAAAACTTCGCTAATATATCTGATCTATAATACGACACACAACTGCCAAGTTTCATGAATCTAACTTTATTACTTTTCCAAATATTTAAAATAAGCTTTTGGACTTGTATGGGAGCCACTCGAACATGTCAAGCAATTCCACCAAAACTTCAGAAATATCTTTGACCTATAATTGGACACACAACTGCCAAGTTTCATGAATCTGACTTTATTATTTTTTCAAATATTTAAAATTAGCTTTTGGAGTTGTATGGCAGGTACCCGAACCTGCCAAGCAATTTCACTAAAACTTCGCAAATATATCTGATCTATAATTGGACACACAACTGCCAAGTTTCGTGAATTTGACTTTATTATTTTTTCAAATATTTAAAATTAGCTTTTGGAGTTGTATGGCAGGTACCCGAACCTGCCAAGCAATTTCACTAAAACTTCGCAAATATATCTGATCTATAATTGGACACACAACTGCCAAGTTTCATGAATTTGACTTTATTACTTTTTCAAATATTTAAAATTAGCTTTTGGAGTTGTATGGCAGGTACCCGAACCTGTCAAGCAATTCCAATAAAACTTCGCAGGTATATCTGATCTATAATTGGACATCCGACTGCCAAGTTTCATGAATTTGACTTTATTACTTTTTCAAATATTTAAAATTAGCTTTTGGAGTTGTATGGCTGGTACCCGAACCTGCCAAGCAATTTCACTAAAACTTCGCAAATATATCTGATCTATAATTGGACACACAACTGCCAAGTTTCGTGAATTTGACTTTATTATTTTTTCAAATATTTAAAATTAGCTTTTGGAGTTGTATGGCAGGTACCCGAACCTGCCAAGCAATTTCACTAAAACTTCGCAAATATATCTGATCTATAATTGGACACACAACTGCCAAGTTTCGTGAATTTGACTTTATTACTTTTTCAAATATTTAAAATTAGCTTTTGGAGTTGTATGGCAGGTACCCGAACCTGCCAAGCAATTTCACTAAAACTTCGCAAATATATCTGATCTATAATTGGACACACAACTGCCAAGTTTCATGAATTTGACTTTATTACTTTTTCAAATATTTAAAATTAGCTTTTGGAGTTGTATGGCAGGTACCCGAACCTGTCAAGCAATTCCAATAAAACTTCGCAGGTATATCTGATCTATAATTGGACACACAACTGCCAAATTTCACGAATCTAACTTTTTTATTTTTTCAAATATTTAAAGTAAGCTTTTGGACTTGTATGGGAGCTACTCGAACCTGTCAAGAAATTCCACCAAAACTTCAGAAATATCTTTGACCTATAATTGGACACACAACTGCCAAGTTTCATGAATCTGTCTTTATTATTTTTCCAAATATTTAAAATTAGCTTTTGGAGTTGTATGGCTGGTACCCGAACCTGCCAAGCAATTTCACTAAAACTTCGCAAATATATCTGATCTATAATTGGACACACAACTGCCAAGTTTCGTGAATTTGACTTTATTATTTTTTCAAATATTTAAAATTAGCTTTTGGAGTTGTATGGCAGGTACCCGAACCTGCCAAGCAATTTCACTAAAACTTCGCAAATATATCTGATCTATAATTGGACACACAACTGCCAAGTTTCATGAATTTGACTTTATTACTTTTTCAAATATTTAAAATTAGCTTTTGGAGTTGTATGGCAGGTACCCGAACCTGTCAAGCAATTCCAATAAAACTTCGCAGGTATATCTGATCTATAATTGGACACACAACTGCCAAATTTCACGAATCTAACTTTTTTATTTTTTCAAATATTTAAAGTAAGCTTTTGGACTTGTATGGGAGCTACTCGAACCTGTCAAGAAATTCCACCAAAACTTCAGAAATATCTTTGACCTATAATTGGACACACAACTGCCAAGTTTCATGAATCTGACTTTATTATTTTGCCGATTATAAAAAATTTGCTTTTGGAGTTGTATGGCAGCCACCCGAACCGGTGCAGCTATCTCATTAAAATTTTTAGAGCATATGTAGAATATAATTGGACACATGTGTACAAAATTTTATATTTGTACCTTTATTAGTTTTTGAAATAATTAAAATAAACTCTTTGAGTTGTATGGCAGCTACCCGAACCCGTTGTCCGAATTGGTCCAATAACAATAGGGTTGGTCCTTGGCAGAAAAGAAGCAACTTGTGAAAGTTTGGTGTCGATTGCATTATTCGTTTTTGAGTTATCGTGCGATCGGGCGGACGGACGGACGGACGGACGGACGGACATGTCTAAATCAACGCAGAATTTTACGCTGAGCAAGAATATATATATATGTCCATACCGCAGATGACTCCTTCAAGTAGTTACAAACTCCATACCAAAGTTAATATACCCTTCACGAAGTGCAGGGTATAAAAAGGAGAAAATGAAAAAACTACTCGGTTGATAGAAATTTGTTCGAATTTCACTATCGAGTATAGAAACTCGGAATTGTATTAATTGTACTTATTATAGATTTTAAAAATTAAAATCTTATACGAATAAGATTTTTTCTTTTAAATTAAGTGTTACTTCTTTGATAAAAATAAATTTCTTTTAAATTAAGTGCTATTTCTTCTATAGAACAAACTCTTTCGAACATCTATCCTTACCGATAATTAAACAGCAATCGTCTTCTTGCTCAAAATTTGATAATTACTTAATTGAACAATTAAAAATTAGTATAAATTTTCTTCTTATTCTATTCACAATACGTGGGAATGAAAATCTACTGCAATAGATAGAAGAATCTATCTTACTTTTCAGATCATAAAGCCTTTATTATGAAAAATTACACTTCCTCACTTAAAGATTAATAATATTAAATGAAAAATGTCAGTAATTGTTGAAAAATTTAATTTTGAAGCAATATTTAGTAACTTCATTTTGTAAAAGGCGCAATAAATGTTAGTCAAGTCAACTAACGAGTACTAAATAACAACACTAAATTTTCTGATGAGTTTTATCCGAAGTCAAGCAAAATAAATAAGTTTTAGAAGACTTGCTTTGAAAACTTGGTTTGACAATGGAATACAAAAATAGAAAAGATAATACTGAAATTTTCCCCATCATTATACCCATACGAAGGTATGTTCGAATGTTATACTAGAATTTGCCTTACTGTGTTGTAACGCTTAGAAATAATGGTCTGAGATATAGACTCAAGTGTATGTTTTTGATCATTTTGATCAATTCTGAGTCGATTTGGCTTTGTCTCTTCGTCCGTCCCAACGATAACTCAAAAACTAATTGAGCTAAGTTCAACAAATTTTCAAAAATGATTTATTATAATACATGCTAGAACCATGTTTAAAATAGTTATTATCGTGGTAGTGGTTCAAGTTCCTGGCACACAACTTCCAAATTTATTTGGCTATATCTCAGAAACTATAAAAGCTGTAGTTATGAAATTTGGCACAAGTAAATATATTAGTAGGGTTGATTTGTTTGATAAAAATCGTTGAAATTGCTTGGCTCTTTGTGATAGCAGCCATAGAACTCCAATAGTAGTTTGGACATATCTTAGAAAATGTTGAACACAGTACTGAAATTTTTCATAAATTGGTATGGTAATACGACAACTTAAAGTCATAGTCTGTCCCATAGTATGCTATGGCATATTTAATCGCACATAGGATAACTATTTTTTAAATAGGATAGTTTTTGACTTAATTTTATAAAAACAAAACGAATTGAAATTTTTAATTGCATCGAAACTAAAAAGTACAAATCATTATTAACAAAAAATGAATTCTAAATGAATTGTAATTTCATCGGAACAATTTATATTGTCGAGGTCTCTAAGAATTTACAGTGACTATATGAATCGAAAGTTTCGGGAGTTTTTTTTCATTAAATTGATCAATATTTGCTAATATGTAATTTAAAATAAATTGTTCGTTATTATAACCATGATCTCACTCTAGTGTAGTGAAATGAGTAGTAAAATTAAAACTGAATTTTTATAATAAAATTGATGCCGATCTTGTCGTTGAATAATAATGTATTTAATAACTCTTTTGGTTACCTTGAACTGATTAAATACAAGTGTGCCATGTTCGGTTTCCTAAATATTTGCTGTGAGCCAATTGTTATAGTGTAGTTTGGTGTATGACTGATAGTAGGTTTGGTATACATGATGAATTTATTTCAAAATATGACAAAACAAATTAATTTACTAACAGACTTTTGCTCAGTTACTTTATTATTTAATAAATTATTATTAATTTATTATTAAATTCCTGTCTTAAAAGTTCGATTGGAATTTTAGAAATGAAATGTTGGCTTATTGCTTTAAAACTTTTGGTTTTGCTTGTTTTGATTCAGTTGTTAGTTTGGAGTTCGTTTATAATTAGTTGGCTATTGTATTTTTTGTTAAGTTGTTATGTTTACTGTTTACTTTATTAAGGTCCTTCTAATTCGAATTAGAATTCAATTGAGCATAACTTCGCTAACAATTCAACTGTATAATACCTTGCCAACAAAGAGTTCACACTCTAAATAATTTTGTGACGTGAATTCAAAAATTTCTGTCTGAATTGTGGCTGATAAATAATCAACTCAAGTAATTTGAATGTTAGGAGCGAATATTGGTCTTTGCTAACTCTCTTTTTAGTTGTGTGATGTACTTAGGGGCTGGGATATATCGCAGACAACTATGGATTCAAAAATTGACCCAAGGGTTACCTAAGGTATATAAGCAAGAATAATTTCATAAGTGTTTATTTTCTGTAAATTTTTATTCAGCCTTTAT